AAACGTTAAGCAATAGTTTGATATTTGATACTCTTTCATTATGTAAATGTGTTGGTGTTAATGAATTTAATGCCAAGTTGACTGGCATTATAATGCAGTTTGTGTGTAATGTTCCGCAGTGGAAAATAAATAAAAACTCTTTGTTTAATTTTTTTCTCAATTAATGTATTTTATCATCGTAAGTCTATGAACACTAAGAAAGCATTTGGGGCGGATACGCGTTCCGCTCTCGGAAGAGATGCTTACGAACTATTGCTCTTTTTGCTGTTGTCACCCAGACTTCCGGAAGGAAAGAAACACATCGATGAGTGGTGAAAAATGACAGAATAATAGTTAGATAAGAATGTAAGCGGCGTAGAGTGAAGTGAGGAAAGGTGGGGCTACGTTTCTTTTATTTAAAAGAACATCCGGAAGGTATAAAGAAAGAGAGATAGTAGGCAAGAGTGAAAATTAGAGATAGAGAGAAACGGCGTGTGCTCGTGTACAACTATATTCGTCGCGAGATCATTGTTTTTCATTACTTTAGTATATTACTTTTGTCACTTAAACTGATTTCCCGACTATTTATTCTCAAAATTTTCAAAATCATTCAAAACATTCCCCGATCGCTGTTGGTCGTCGCATAAGGCATATTACACTCAACGCTCTCCTCTTTAGCTTCAAGTAATTTCATACACTGTCTTTTATTTATACTTTACAATTAATTATCTGAAACATATAATAATACTCGCTGCGCATCTTCGGGACGTAATGCGCAATACGTACTTGTTTAAAAAAAAAAAAAAAAAAAAAAAAAAAACAAACATAGAATAAATGAAATCAATAAAACTTCGATCGATAAAATGTCCACAACTATATGCTCTTTCTTATTTTTGTACTATTACGACATGTCCGCGAGGGCGGCGACCTACGACGATATAAAAAAAAAACAAAAACAAAAACATAAAAAAAAAACAAAAAAAAAAAAAAAGCTGTCCTCGCTCAACCCGCTCAACCATTGTGCGCACTATCATCTCTCCTCTTCCGTACTTAGTCTTTCTCCTTTATACAATGATACAATAGAACGGTCAGGCTATCGCAAGGAATCAAAGTTTCAGAGCTTTGCGAGTCCTTCACTCTCGGCGTACTCGATCGTATTTTCATCTCCTTTATAGTTAAATTTCTTTATTTACAAACACTCAAATTACTCTCTTTTTAATTTTTCTTACATCGCTAGATTTTCTCGCATCGTACAAGGTAATACTTATATTACGGATATAATCTTCTACTTATGTATAACTCGTATGGATAATAATAAATGTAAAGGTATTGAAATAAGATCTCTTGTGATAAGAAAAAATGGAGTTGGAGGGGTAGGAGGTTGGAGAGGGTGATAAAGCTTAAGGTTATGAATTCATACTAATAATCGTCATCGCTTTATGCGCTATTTTTTCAATCTTTTCTTATTTACTCATCGCTTCGTAGTAATTTTCTATATATATATATATATATATATATATATACACATACATATATATATATAAACCATAATTACACGCTGATGTATATAAACGCGCAGAAGCGCCTTGTCACAAGGACGCGTTTCGATGCGCGCTAAATAATAATTACTTTATTTATTATCATTTAGTATCACATTGCGTTCACTGTGTTGTATATTATTATATGCTGGCCGTTTGCTTTGCCTGAATTTCGAGAATATGGTTATTCGCGATATTGTCCATCGTTGGACTGTTGTCGAACCTCGTTGAGCTCAACCTCGAAAGTGCGAAACAAAACAAAAACAAAAAAAATTTCGTTTGGTTGTCTTTTATCTTATCTTTCATTTCGTTATTATCCAGAAGTGAAGAGAATTACTTTACAACAATCCGCAATCGTATCGTTCGTAACGCGATTGTGACATTCATGTTTCTGCTATAGAAGTTCAAACGCAGATGAACAATCATACCGAACCAACTGCATATTTGATTCGCCAGCGAGAATTTACGATTACACGTGGTAAAAGGAAAAAGAAAAATAACGAACTGAGCCACAATTCAATGAGTCGATAGTCATTGGAGCGTTTATGTATAAAAGTTTTAGCTGTCGATGCGCAAATTTGTTATCTCGAAATCAGGCAATGATACAGGCGATCTCGAAAGTGTACCCGTTTTATACTTTTTACTTCAACAGATACGGAAATAAGTTTTGAGCGAGAATCAAAGTAAGATAAGCAAGTTTATTCGTTTCTCCTAAAAGCGCATTGGCTGCGAATGGTAACGTAAAAGTGTGCGTTGAAAAATTATTATGGGAGGAGGGGAAGAATAAAAGAATAAGCCTACGCTCGAGTGGCTCTACGAGCGTATCTTTGGTGTAACTGCTTCATTAATTAATTATTCATCCTGCAAAAGAAAAGGATACTTGCCCTTTGTAAACAAGCATTGTTCTTTTTTTTTTTGTTTGTTTGTTTGTTTGTTTGTTTAATTGTTTTCTTTTTTTTGTTGTTGCTTTTTCTATTTTTGTTATTAACGTTGCGTTTGATTGGGGTAGTTTGCGGCACTAATGGACTTTTATCATCTCTCGGACATGGACATCCACACATCAACTGAAGTAAAATTTTTCATTTTAAAATTTTTTCCCTGAGGAAAATTTCACGCTCTCCATACTTACATGCTCATTAGGAATGTTTCGTATGCTTATATCTGCCTCGAGGAGAGAAATTTTTTTCAACAAAAAATATCGAAACATTTTCGATTTATTATTAATGTTATTGAATTTTTTTTGTTTTTTTTTTTAATTTTTTTTTTATTTGCATTTTTCTTTTCTTTTTCACCAAAAAGAGAACGATGAGCATGAATTTATCGTATATCAGGCGTATGCGCGAATGACATTAAAAAGACAGAAAAACGAGGCCGAGCCCTTCGAGGCACCAAATTAACAGTTCAATAATATTTTTCTTTTACGAATTTTTTTTTAAATTTTTTGTTGTTTTTTTGTTGTTGTTTGTTTGTTTGTTTTGTTTTGTTATGTTTTGTTTTGTTGTTTTGTTTTGTTATGTTTTGTTTTGTTTTGTTTTGTTTGACCTGACGACCCGCGTCAATAATCAAAATTTAAGATAAAAACGCAAATTTATAAGTTCAATGCGACTACCTACGACTCACTTCTTTTTATTCCTTTTTCTTTCTTACAGAATGCATGTAATGCAGTAGAGAGAACAATAATGTTCGACGACACTTATAATTGTGCATTCCTTTCATTACAAAGAAAAAGTAGAGTCCATTCATCCTTCCATTATTGCGTAAACTAATGATCATTTGCACTATTGATTTACGGCAAACAATCGCAGCTTCTACAAAAAAAAAAAAAAAAAAAATTATTCCTAAACCAATTTGTTTAATTATTATTTTCTTTTTCCTGACCAAGAAAGGAAAAGAAGGCAAAACTTCGATTTTAACTAGTTTTTCTCTCTATCTCCTTCTCATTTCTCATATAATGTTTCATCTAAAAACGCTTAAGCCTATGAACACATGAAATCACTGCCCAATCGACCAATTTGGACCCATTTGACAAGGCACTCGAGTCACAACGTTGGAGGAGTAATGAGAAGAAATTTGAGAGGAGGATAAAAGCACAAAGTTCTTTGCTAAGTCTCCAACTGTACAAAAATAATCGTGAAATATCATTTGGACACGACGAATGTATAACAATCTCTCTCTCTCTCTCTCTCTCTCTCTCTAGCTCTTCGTTCTTTCACATGCGCACGCACACACACACACACGCTCTCTCTCTCTCTATCTCTCTCTCTCTCTCTCTCTCTCTCTCTCTCTTGCAAGTCTCGAGACGCATCGTGTGTCATTACGCATTTCTTTTATAATTTTTTTTTACATAAAAAAATTTTGTTCGAGGCGATTGTAGGCAGGCCGCTAAAAGAGCTAATTCTAATAACTGTTATTCGGTGGAAATTCGGTTGGTCCCATTGCAAGTGTAAAATAAATAACAACTCGTACATTCTCCTATCGTATGTAACACTATATACACAAAAGACAAAAAATAAAATGAAATTATCGTTATCCATATCTAAGAATAAAAAAAAAAAAAAAAAAATGATAATAATAATAGTAATAATATTAATAATAATAAAAATGGGATAGAAGGGCGTTGTAATTCGCTTTAATCGGCTATAAGTCCGATGAGTAAAATGATCGGCTGGCAGGAAGAAATGCTCCTCTGTCGCGATTAAGCGGTTATTGTCCTTGGTTACGATCTGCACAATCATCTGGATTGCCATTAGGATCTTTATGCGGACGGTTTTTATGAAAACTCCTCTTCTTCTGCTTAGTTATGCGTTTTTTTATTAATGATCGTCACGAAGGCCCACCCGATACACCCCGCCGTCGTCGAATCGTCGCGACAACGCGGCTTAACCACCACACGTATTATCGATGAATTGCATCGTTGGGTGTGTGCGTGCGTGTGCGTGCGTGTATGTGTGTCGGTCAACGCATTCGAGCCCACTTGTCAAGGATCTCGATTGTCATTGTTAAAACTAAGTCACAACTAATTAGCCGTACGAATCAATACCATAATCAGTATTGTTATCGTTGTTGTGTTGTAATTGAAGTCGTGGAAAATTTTGGATGCTTCCCCTTAGGTACGATGGATTCAGCATTAATGGTACTAATAATTGTGCGGTGCTATTGAAAATCCAATTCATCGCGTAGGCGGCGGATGGTATTGTGACGAGTGGACAGAGTTGATTGGCGTTTGGGCGCAATCGCGAGCTGTGGAATTCCGAAGCACTTTAAATGCACAATTTGAGTGTACATTGTGTAGGTAAGAGGAGCAACCACCATCGGGCAATGCGCGCCCACCCACGCGTCAGCCGATAATTTTAATCAGGATGGTAATAATCGAGGGCCAGGTGACCGGAGGAGACGGGGCGTCCCATGAAATCGCGAATCCATGTGCGCAAGGGTCGGCTGTTGTGAGGAGGTGAGAGGCCGAAGGTAACGAGACCGGATCGGGTCACCACCACACGCTGATTGGCCTCGTGGCTCGGACCTCGGCCTCGGTGCTCTCATCGCGAAATCGAGAATCCGGTGAGATCGGCGAGCCCCGGGCTCGTTCGCTAGTCGTGCAGGTTCTTGCTAAGTAGGAGACTGTTGTGCGGGCCGGATAGGTGCCTGATGAGCTCCGACTGGCTGTCGAAGCTCAAGGAGCAGAAGCAGCAGGTGAAGGTGTTGTCGGGTGCGGCTATAACGCCCCGATGTACCGAACAGAGGTGCTTGAGTAAGTGGGCCTTCTGCTTGAACATGGCGACGCAGAGCCGACAGGCAAAGGGCTTCTCGCCCGTGTGGACGCGCAGGTGAGTCTTGAGGTTCCAGGACATGCCGAACTGCTTGCCGCAGTATGTGCAGCGGTATTCGCGCACCGGCGTCGACTTGGGCGAGTCCTCGGAGGTGGGGGCGGTTGGTGCCCGAGATGGGGGCAGCGTCCACGCGCCCCAAGGCGGCTCGAGGCCCGCAGCCGTCGTCGGGTCCGCCGACGGTGGCCGGTGGATTATAATGGGCGGCGTCATCGACCTGTCCTGCTGCAACAAAGTCAAGTCATGAGACACGCGTGTCTGTGATTGTAGTGATGGTACCGCTGATGGTTGCGATGCCGTCAACGATAGTACGAGCGAGGATGACGGTAGTCGCGAAAGAGGGAGCAGGACAATTGTTATATGGGTAAACATTGTAGGCAATTGCAGGCTCCTTCGTTAAAAAAAAAGAAAAAAATAATAATAATAATAATAATTGAAAAATAATTTTGTACTAGCGATAAGATTGTGATGCGTGAAGAACTAAGACTTTTCCTAATTATTATATTTATAATTATAAAAACAAACGGGATCGATTGTACGTTTCGATTGGTTACATTATTCGAAGGAATTATTATTATCAATTACGAATACTATTAGGAATTACTATTATCAATATCTTTTGTTGATCACATCCACTAATTTCCATTAATTTTGCTTTACTCTCTCGATATTTATCATTAATTATTTTATTATTATCACGAAGAGACAATAGTTAATTGTGGCAATGATTTTTGTATATACTTATTATTAATGTTAATAGCCTGAGAATTATGTTGATTACAAAAGAATTAAAATTTCATAAGGACTCGCATTTAATACTTTTCAATTATTCTCTTATCTATATTACTCAATATTGGCCGACCGATACCGCAATTCATTTGAAAGGAATTGGTTTAGTTTTTTCTTTTTTTTTTTTTTTTTTTTTTGACATTTTTCAAATTATAGGATGACCGATAAGTTTAATTCCCCATAAAGGTGTGGGAATTTACATATTGACTGTTGGTAGTCGCGTGATCAATCGAGTTAATCGACATATATCAACATTTCATCTTAACTCGCTTATAATATTCTCAAAAGTATCAGCCAAAGCTCAATGACAATTAATATTAAACATAAAAAGCAACGACCAATTAAACATGCGATTACTACAGCAATCCAGTGTAAAGATCTTTTCGTCCAACCGGGAAGTGTATACGGTTGCCGCTCGTCGGGCGCAGAGCAAAGCATCAATCAAAAAATAAGGAAGAAGCGATTGATTTGCGGCTCGTTTTTTGTTTGTTTTTTGTTTTGTTTTTGGCCCATAACAATGGCGGTAAATTTGCTCACTAACCACCGTATATACATTTATCGCGCTGATCAGACGTAAAGTCGCACAGCAATGCTATCGGCACCCCATGAACATCGCGTTGAGTATGCCGAGAGCATCGTCATCGTCGACTCAATGAGAGTTGGCGAGCCGAGTGGCTGTGCACGAAAGCGAGATCGGACGAAGTGAGATTGAAACGAGGCCACGCGTCCGTCCGTGTATCCAATCGATAAGCCACCATCACGACGGGGCCCGTGGAGCTCGATGCAAGGTCAAAATAAAGCAAGAGGGCCTTACCGGGTAGGGCGGCGCCGAGACGCTGAGGGCGTGCGGCGCCTGGAGCCTCCGCGGTGTCTCGAAGCCGGCGTTGAAGGGCACGAAGGCGGGATTCTGCGCAGGCGCGTTATGAAAGCCCGGCCTGCGCTTCCTGTGGGGCGTGACGACGTAGGCCTCGGCCGCCGGTATCGGCAGCTCCTCGGGCTTCCGCTTCGTCGTCTCCAGACCAAGGGCGAGCCGCGCCGCCAGCTGTCTCCTTCGCTCGTCCTGCTCCTCCAGGGACTCACGTCTTTCGAGCGGTGTCTTCTCGTGCCGGAAGCTCGACCTTGGAACAGCCAATCGCACCAGGGCTTAATAATCGCGTTATAATCGCTCGATAACCTCACGACGAAAGCCCAAAACGGCAAGAGTCGTCTCCTACGCAACGCCACACCGCTTTACTCCACTTTCACCTTCTTGGTTCAATCACGATCACCACGACCATCACCACCAACATTATTACCACCTCCAATCGCCAATCATCGGCTTGGCTTCTCTATCCATCCGACGTCCTTTTAATATTTGCTTAAGCCGCTGGAGGCTTATAATATTATAATCGGCTGGCCGCGTGTCGCTTCGCCTTCTCAATAATCGTATCGACATACCGGAGATGAATCGCTCAGCTTCAGCTCTCTTCCCCCCC